GGCATGGGGGGGGGGTGCCTGTGCCCATTGCCGCCCAGGTCAGAGCTTGTCGCCGGTAACGTTAGGTGGGGATAGACTCAGGAGGGACGCATCAACCCCCAATCGCCCCCTGAGTGGGGCCTGATAGCCCACTCTGCCCAGAAACGTACGGTTTTGCTATTGGGGGCCCATCGCTGATCCATCGGCGATGTATTGCCGATCCTGGCTCGACGTGTCTCCCCCTGAGCTGGTCCCCCTCATCGCTGCCCCTCTGTTTTGGGGAGGTGGAGGAGGGATCGCCATGAAGGAACGGGGTCTGGGAGGCAAACATTCCTGGAAGCTTCTGGCCGTTTTTGGCCTCCCTGGGTTTTCCACTGCGCCCCTGGACTGTCAACCGATTGGCTTAGGAGGCTCCTGGCTGGTGTCGGCCTCCACTGGCGAGCGAAAGGGTTCAGTGGGGTCTCGCTACGAATTCCATGCAAGGATTACACTGGGAATGGGCAGTCAGGTGGTCCCTGGCTTGCTCATGGCTGGTGTCGGCCTCCACTGGTGACCGGACGGGTTCAGTGGAGTCTCGCTACGCTGCCGACCTCCACGGTGCAAGGAGTTCGGCATGTGTGGCACTGTGCGCCCGTCGGCTGCTTTCCCCTGTAAGGACTCCTTTTTCAACATGTGCCACTGTTGTACAAACAAGATGTACTGCCGTTTGCAGTCCTATCTGTGACGAGGTTGCCCCTCTTCACTCCTGCGCTGACACGATGTTTCGCTGACGCGATGGATTTGTGTCGCCTACGGCACGGGCGTCGTCTGGGTGTGCCTGTCGGTCCTGTTCGTCTCTGACGGTGCTTCGTGCCGACTCACACCGAGTGATAGACCTCTGCGTGTTTATGGTAGCGCCGCCGCGCCATTTTGGCTGCGCTTACTTGCTGGTCGCCACCGGGATTTCCACGCCACCGGGTTGGGAGTTTCGTTTCTGGCTCTCCTTCTGGGTGGCTACCCGCGCGCTCGCTTCGCTTGCCTCTCTCTTTTCTTGCTGCCTAGTCGCGGCCCGGCTAGTGTTCGGACGGCTTTCGACCTGCTTCGCGAGCCCACAGACCAAACATATCCCCACCAACGCATCCAGAAACGTTGCCCAGGGGAGTTGAGGTGATTTGGGAAATGGGGGAACATGCAGAACCACAACGGGCGGGAAAATCCGTCCGATACCCCAGGAGGGGGATGATTGTGGAGGAGAAGGAAGAGGAGGAGAAGGAGGAGGAGGGTGATGAGGAGGAAGGAGGAAGATACCTTGGAGAAGGAGGAGGAGGAGGAGGAGGAGGAGGAGGAGGAGGAGGAGGAGGAGGAGGAGGAGGAGGAGGAGGAGGAGGACGAGGAGAGGAGGAGGGAGGAGGAGGAGGAGGGAGGAGGAGGACGAGAGGAGGAGGAGGAGGAGGAAGAGGAAAAGGAGGAGGAGGAGGGCGATGAGTAAGGAGAAGAGACAGTGGACAAGGAGGAGGAGGAGGAGGAGGGAGGAGGAGGAGGAGGAGGAGGGAGGAGGAGGAGGAGGAGGAGGAGGAGGGAGGAGGAGGAGGAGGAGGAGGAGGAGGAGGAGGAGAGGGAGGAGGAGGAGGAGAAACAAACATCATCTTGGCGAACCCAGTGGCTTCTTTGAGCGTCTTGGGTGCCCCGGAGATCCTCTTGAGGCCTCTTGGAGGCCTCTTGGGCGCCTCTTCGGGCTGTCTGGGCGCCTCTTGGGGTCCTTTTGGTGCGCTCTTGGGAGCTTCAGGGACACTCTTGGGGCCATCTTGGAAGACATCGATAAAAATGAGGGGTTCCTTAATTCACCCCACCCCCCTGGGAGCCCCGAGAGTCGCCTCTTGGGGCGCTCTTGGGGCGCTCTTGGAGCGCTCCTGGGCGCTCTTGGGGCCGTTTTGGGGCTCTCTTGGGTCTCTCCTGGCCTCGGATGGCCATCGGAAGCGAAACTGCTTTTGGAAGGATTTTGGCCTGTTCGGGGCCTCCTTGGGGAGCTCTTTGGCCACTTGGAGCCGTCTTGGAGCGGTCTTGGGGCCTCTTGGAGCATCTTGGGAGCCATCTGGAGGCATTTCGGGATATCTTGAGCCATCTTGGAGCTCATCTTGGGCTTTCCGAGGCGCTCTTGGAGCCATCGTGGGCCCTCTTGGACGCCCCAACCCCTCGAAAGGGGACCCCAGGTCCAGGGGAGGGGGTAGGGGCCCCTCCCCGAAGGAGAAGAGGGGCATATGGAAAACAAAACACCCTAGACCACCTACGCCCAAAAGGGCTGGTGGGAGAGCGGGACATCTTCCGCACATAGTCAGGGCGGAAGTACATACAATTCATACAGGGCAATTCTGAAGCGGGGGAGGGGGAGGGGATAGGGGGCAGGGTGGAGGGAGGGGGCAGAGGGGGGGAGGAGGGGGAGGGAGGGGGAGGGAGGGGAAGGAGGGGGGAGCCCGCCAGTTTGTCAAGACCGTGGGGGAGGGATGGGGAAGGGATGGGGGAGGGAGGGGGAGGGAGGAGGAGGGAGGGGGAAGAGGGGGACGAGGGCATGTTAGGTGCGCTCGCGTCAACATCTGACATCCTACCCTCCCTCCCATCCCTTACTATGGCGCTGATTTTCTCTATCCGCGGGCGCGTGTCGTAGCGGACCTGTGGCTCCGCGCGCGTGTGCGTAGTGGGTGGTGGTGCGCGTGCGTGCGTGCGTGTGTGCGTGGTTGTGGTTGTTGTTGTGGTGGTGGTGGTGGTGGTGGTGGTATGTGTGTGTGTGTGTGTGCGTGTGTGCGCGTGTGCTGTGGTGTGACGTGGTGTGGCGTCTTGGTGGTTTGGTGGTGGCGTACGTGCGTGATGGCGGTGGTGGTGGTGGCGGTGGTGGTGTGTGTGTGTGTGTGAGTGTGTGTGTGGTGTGTGAGTGTGTGTGTGTGTGCGTGCGTGCGTGCGTGCGTGTGTGTGTGTGTGTTGTGTGTGTGGTGTGTGTGCGTGTGTGTGTGTGTGTGTGCGTGTGCGTGTGTGTGTGTGTGTGTGTGTGTGTGTGTTGTGTGTGTGTTGTGTGTGTTGTGCGTGTGTGTGTGTGTGTGTGTGTGTGTTGTGTGTGTGTGTGTTGTGTGTGTGTGTGTGTGTGTGTGTGTGTGTGTGCGTGCGTGCGTGCGTGCGTGCGTGCGTGCGTGCGTGCGTGCGTGCGTGCGTGCGTGCGTGCGTGCGTGCGTGCGTGCGTGCGTGCGTGCGTGTGTGCGTGCGTGTGTGTCTGTGTGTGCGCGCGTGTGATGTGGTGTGACGCGGTGTAGCGTGGTGGTGGTGGGTGGGGTAGTGCGGTGGTGGTGGCGGTGCGCGGTGGTGGTGCGCGTGCGTGCGTGCGTGCGTTGGTGGGTGGAAGTGGCGGTGGGTGTGCGTGCGGCGGGGCGGGGCGTGGTGCGGCGCGGTGGTGGCGGGCGGATGGGCGCGCGAGAAAGAGGCCCGCGCTGGGGCGAGAACGCCATCCTGAACGACGGAGGCAAAACACCGATCCGAAAATGAGGCCCACGCTGCAGCGGGAGCACGATTCGGAACGATTCGGGAGCAGAAATGAGGCCGGCGCCTCAGCGAGAGCAGCATTTTGAAAAAAAGCGCAGGCGAAAACCCAACTCCGGGGAATCGTGTGTGTAAAAAAACAGTACGCGGGGGGAGGGGGGGCGAATACGCAAAAGACGTCATCAGGGGAAGAGGGAGAGTAGTATTCATATTGAGTAATTGTGGAGGGAGGGGGGGGGAGGGGCAGGGAGGGGCGGGGGAGAGGGAGCCCGCCAGTTCGTCAAGACGGAGGCGGCGGCGGCCGCCCTGTGCGACGTGGTGCGGCCGCGCTACCTCCAGCTGGCCAACGTGTTCGCCGGCGAGTCCCTGCGCGGCCACAGCTCCTCGCGCCAGGTCGCGGGACTAGGAACCGCCGCTTTGTGGCCCTGCCTGCCCCCCCCGCCCTGCCACGCTCCTTCTGCTGCTCCTCCTCTTCCTCCTACTCCTCCTCCTTCTCCTCCTCCTCCCCCTCCTCCTCCCCCTCCTCCTCCTCCTCCTCCTCCTTTTCCTCCTTCTCCTCCTTTTCCTCCTCCTCCTCCTCCTCGTCTTCTCTTCTCCGTCTCTCTCCTCCTCCTCCTCCTCCTCTTCCTCCTCCTCTTCCTCCTCCTCCTCCTCCTCCTCCTCCTCCTCCTCCTCCTCCCCTCCCTCTTCCTCAGGCTGAGACTGCGGACGGTTCTCCCGATCATGGGTGGCGCCCTCGTTGACCCTCCTTCCGGCCAGCGCCAGGGGGGAGGGTACGAAGACGAAGAGGTACAGGAGGAAGGGGAACGACCAAATGCCAGAGATCCCTGCAGGAGGGGGGCTGCGTGCCTGTGTGCGCCGGCGGTGGCTTGCCGTGCCCACGGGGAGGCGGCTCAAGCTTAGGCCCCACCTTTCCGAGGGGGAGGGAGAGACCCGCCTCGGCGCGTCCTCTCAGGGAGCGGGGGCCACCATGTACCTATCCTCGTCTGAAGGATCCGAGGAAGGGGGGGGGCAGGGCCTTCTCCTTGTGGTGCGAGCAGCGGGCAGGCGGGGTGCGGTGGGCAGTGAGGGACAGGGGTGCGTGGGTAAAGAGCACGGCGGGCGGAACAGGAGGCGGACGGTAAGGGGCGAAGTGATCTCAGTTATCGCTGCCTCTTTCCCGTCGCCTTTTTTTCGTATAGCGTATTATGACGAATGGGCCCGTGCGAGGATCCTGCCCCGACGCACCGAACGGTTGCCTGCATCGGGAGGTTGGGCATTTGGCGTGTCTGCCATAAGCAGAATCTGGATCAAGAGGCGTGGGATGAGGCAGCAGGGGAGCAACAGGAAGGGGAGGATGACGATGACGGGGACGGGCGGAGAAGGAGGCTGAGAACGAAGGTGATGAGGAGGGGGCTGTTATCACAGGGCATCCATCTCCGCTGGTGGTTGCCTGGAGGGGCCGCCTCGCCAGCCTCCTACGCCGCGTCAGAAGATCTTGCGAGGATGCTGCTCTTTTCCACAATAAGCGGCCCACAGGCATGCAAGATCTCAAGGACATTCTGGGGATCTGTAGCCCAAGGAGACATCCGCTTCTCTTCGCGCCAGAGCTCGTCCAGCCTCGACCACACTGGTTCAGTCTTGCTCGCAGCTTGTTCCAGTGTTTACGCTTCGCGCATACCCACCAACACCCGCCCATCTGGCAACGATGCCCAAGCGAGTTAACTTAATCACGGAGGTATGGGATCACGCGGTGGAACAACGACGGGGTGGCAGCCGTCGAACCGAATATCGGGATCTGCCTGAGCAGGCCAGGGCGTCAACTATAAATCCCTTCGCGGATCTTTCGGTATGGAAGCCTCTTGGCAGTTGACCTGGGCCATCTTGGGGGTTGGGGCCCTCTTGGCGCTCTCTTGGGGCACTGTTGGGGGCCCTGGAAACCCTCTTGGACATGGATCAGTTTTTGGTAAAACATTTGGCCTCTGTGTGCCAATACGAAAGTGTATCCTCTTTCTCTGCCCGACGCTTGTGGCCATTTGGGCTCAGGCGCTCGGCCGATTTTGTGTAACGGTTGGGCGCAGATTCTGGCCGTTGGGGTGTGCGCCCTCGACGCCGCGCTGCAGCGGGTCAGCAAGGTGCTTCGTGACTGCAATCTCCTCGGCCCGCGCCTGGCGCTCTAGGCGGACGAACCCGAGTTCGAGGGAACTTTCGACCAAGTAGCGGCGGCCGCGGACCCCAGCGTGGAGAAGGCGCGGCTGCCGCTGAGGGAGTTCGTGGACCGGTGACCAGGCATTGGCCGAAGAGCCGGTGCAGAAACAGTTGAAGGCGCTCAATGGCTGCCCTGAACGGGCCATGCTTGAGGACGCCGTGGCGAACCTCGTGGCAGTGACCAGCCGAGAAGTGCCCGAGGCTCCGCCGCCGCTGGGGGCCCGCGCGATAGCAGGATTCTTTTTCTCGCGGAAGTGCTGCGCTGCGGTGGACGAGAGCCGTCGCGGGCTCGATGGAGGCTTCGCCTGGTCATGCTGCTTGAGGGGATGGGGGCGCCCTCGCTGCAGACGGCGCGGTCCCGCTCGGACCTGGGGCGAGCGAAGGACGGCATCACAGGCCGCGCGCGCATCAACACGGTGAGGTTGTACGTGCGAGCCATGGAGACGCTGCGCAGGTGACGCTTTCGCGCGCGCGGTGTTCCGTGTCCCGAAACGATCGTGCTTGTCGTCGTTTACGTGCACGCCATTGCTGCCGAGCCGTGCGCGCAAACGGTGCCTAATCAGGCCATGCGCGCCATGGCATGGACGGAGCGCGTGGCGGCCGTGGACGTGAACGTCAGACTCTCCGCCCGGCCTGAGACCCAACAGGTCGTCGCGAACGTGGAGATGCTCCTCCGTGCTGGCATGGGCCCAACGACGAGGTCGGGGCGTCTCCCCGGCGCGTTCACTGAGGCCTTGTTGTGGACGGGGGCCTCGCGAAGTACCTGTGCGGGGTGGCGTGGCTCCCCCACGTCAAGGAAGGTGTGGGCGGCGCTGCGCTACCACGACTGCAGCTGGCTCCTGCCCGAACTCTTCGCCTTCGTGGACGGAGTGCTGACGGCCATGCTGGGGCGCGCGAGGGCTAGCAGAGCGGGCCGCAAGCTGCCGGAGCTGCCGCTAGTGGTATCCCGTGATTGCTACATGCTGGACCCGGCGTGGGTACTGTCGGGCTGTGACCTGTGGCAGGATGCTGCGAATTTCGAGATGGATTATTTCTTGCCGCAGTGCGATGGCGCGGCGCAGGAGATGGTCCGCAAGAGCACGCTGGGTACGCAGAGGCGGCGGCAGCGGGTCAGTAGGTGCTCCAGAGGATGCTGGAGCCAGCGGCCTGTGCGGGCGAGGAGGTCGAGCTCCCCGTTCCCGAGGAGGGCGTGAGCTTCTGGGCGCAGCGCTCGGAGCGGGCGACGATCCCTTCGGTCGCGGCGGCGATGGGGGTCCCGAACAACGAGCGCGACTACCTGGGCAAGTGGTCGCCAGGAGCTTCGGGCGCCCGCGCGAGGGCGCGCCGCGTTGTCGATTCCTGGCTCCAGCGGCGTTTCGCAGAGGTGCTACATTCTGGGATGGCTTGCTTCCAACCAGACGAGGCGACAACCGTCCCAGCCCTGGCGACCTGTCTTGTGCTGAGGAAGAACTTCCTGGTGCAGGAGGCGGCGACCGTGGCGTCTGAGACCTGCGCGCCCCTCGAGGCCTTCGCTGGCTGGTTGACCTCGGCGCCCGAGGGGGGGCGACGGAGAGGAAGAGGGCGCCGCGCCGCTGACAGGGGCCCCCAACCTCCCGGGAAGTATGCGGGGGGCAGAGGGCGGCCGTGGCAGCGTCGGCGACGGCTGCTGGATGAACGTCCAGTGACGGATAGCTGCCGCCCCCCCGAGGGCAAGGGCGCCGATGAGGTCGGCTGCTGCTTCATCGTATGCGCGAGGAAGCGCGTGGTGGCCGGGCTCTGCGAAGTTGGGGGCCGTGGCTGGGGTTCTAGCAGGTCGCCGCTGAACGCGACCTACTTCGACGACGTGCAAGGCCCGAAGGTGCGTGGCGTGGTCTGCCAGAGGTGCTGGCGTTGCACCTCGGCTGAGAGGGCGGCGCTTGCCTCCGAGAGCGAGGGGGAGGGCTGGAGAGAGCAGGGCGCGAGCGGCGGCGGGCTCCACGTGGCCCCCTGGGACGGGGGCGCGCCGGCCCGCTAGCGGGCAGCCTGGGCGGGCGACGGCGGCGGCGGGGCCCCGCGCGCCCCCGCGGGGCGGGGGCCCCGCTCACGCGCGGGCCGCTTGCGGAGGGCGGCGCGCGGCAGCGGGTTCTTCGTGCAATTTTTGGTCGGGGGCCGCGATCGTGCGCTGACGGGGCGCCGGCCGCCGCGCAGCCCAGGGCGCGCCCAGGGCAGTCAACTGACCATCGACAGTTCCGGGGGCGGAAGAGGAGGGCCGCGCCCAGGTGGAAACCATGTTATCTCGCCCGTGGGGGGGTCCCGAACTTCCGTCTGCCTGCGGACGCCCCCCCGCGTCGGTGGCGCCCCCCCCGTCCGTGGGCCCCTCCGCCCGCCGCGGGCAAGGAGGGTTCTGGTGGGGAAGGGCGTCCTCTTGCTGGGTGGGGTCTTCTGGCGGGCGGGTGTGGCGCCCTGCCGAGCTGGTGTGGTCGTCGCACGATCCGCAATTGTTTGTCTCAGTCGACCTCGCTCGGTCAGGAGTGGGGCCCGCTTGGTCTCCGGAGGTCCACCCCCGGCGTCGCCCGCGCGGCCTGGCGCGGGGGGCGGCTCGACGGCGTGGCGCCGAAGGGGCTCTCGCATTAGGGGGGGGGCAAGGCGCTCGCGTCGCCGAAATCGGACTTGCGCTTCTTCCTCCCCGCGGTGGATGTGCCGCTGAGCGTGCAGGCGCAGCTGCACGGCGTGACGAGCCTGGGCAACTTCTCCGCTCTGATGAACCCAGGCCAGGGCGCGCGCGAGCGTCGAGCGGCGGCGGGAGTTGGAGGGCGAGGCCGTCGCGCGCCAGGTGGCCGAGCCTCTGAGCGCAACCGATAGCGAGGCGACGCGGCTGCCCTTCGAGAAGGCGCGCTGGATGCCCAAGGAGGGCCAGGTGCTGTCGAGATCCCATCTTGAAGTCAGGCAGACAGAGATCGAGCGGGGTGGCGCTCGGGCGGAGGCGCTCGCGGCAGTCAACTCAGTCGAGGGGGGCCCGTTGGCGCCGGCGTGGCCCAGCTCGGGGGCGATGCAGTGCAGGGAGGTAGCGACCGTCAAGGTCGTCGCAGCCCCGCAGGGCCCGGAGGCGCTGCGGAAACGCATCGTGCCGATGGGCGCGGGAATCCTCATGCTCGGTCAGTGCCGCGCGAACCGGCAAGACCTGCGAGGCGGAATCCCGCCGCACTTCCAGACGCACCTGGGCTACATGCTCGGGGGGCACGTCTGGGACCTCGTGGCGAGGGGCGCGCGGGGCGACGTGGCCGCGCGCCCGCCGCGGGCGCGGGTGCTGCAGTGCAAGCCACAGACAGGTCCGCAAGAAGGTCTTTCAGCTTGTGCGGCAGGAGCGCGTGCAGTGCCGCCTGTGGCGGGCGATGGGCGACTCGGCGCGCCGGCCCTCGCCGGCCCGGCAGCTCGCCGCCGCCCTCGGCGGGCGCCGCAGCGGCCGCGGCAGCGGGGGATCAGCCCGCGTGGGTGTGCAGGGGCGGGGCGCGCAGGCGGCCGGGGAACGGGCCCGGGCGCGGGCCCTGCCGCGCAGGCGCCAGAGGACGATGATGTTCGCTTCCGGTGCAATTTCAAGATGGCTATGTGCGACCCGAAGGAGTGCCGCATCCTCCGCGTGCGCTCGCTCTGCTTCGCGCAGGACCTCCCGCGGTGCTCGTGCAGGGGCTGGCCCGCGGGGCAGACGCGCGGGGCGAAGCTCTCTTGGGGCCCCCGCGGCGCCGCGGCCGATCAAGGGCGCCGCGAGGGGCAAGCGGCCGCTGCCGATGCCGATGGGCAGAGGCGGCGCGCGGCGTTGACGCGGGGGCGGCAACGGCGGCAGCGCCGCGGCAGGGGGGGCGCCCCCCTGCTGCAGCCGCCAGCAGACGCAGGCCCGGCGGCCCCGAGCGGCCGCGACCGCGTCAGGCTCCGCATCGGGGCGGCCTTCTCAGGTTGGGCGGCGGCGGGGCTCCATGCGACCCCTCGGGGCGGGGGCCGCGCCTGCGCGCTGCCGGGGGCGCCGATGCGCGACCCGCGGAGGAGGGCGCCCGCGGCGGAAAGGGCTCCGCGCGATCGCGTCGGGGCGGGGGCCTGCCTCGCAGGGTCATCCTGACGGCCGTGCGCGAGGTCCCGGAGCGACGCGCGTCGCCGCGCGCTCCAGCCGGGGGCGATCCAGACAGGGAAACGACAAGGGCGAAGAGGGGCACGGGGCCAGACGCCCCCCGGGATCCAGGGGGCGGGCCGCAGAGTGCAGCTGCAGCTGGAGGTGCCCGGCTCCTTCGTGGGGCATGGGCGACTGGCGGGCGTTGCCTCCTTCGCGCGCCGCCTCGGCATGCCCGCGCGCTTGGGGGAGGTGGCCCTGGCCAGGTCAGACGACGCCGACCCTTCCATCGCGGCGCTGGAGGGTGATTTCTTCAGGAGGCTCGC